CTCCCTCCTTTTTATTTCTCCATAACAAGAAAGAAAAAATCCCTTCCTGAAATCCTTCCTTTCATCTGGACCCCGAGAGTCTACAGGAGATGAATGACTAAACAAAACAAAAAAATTCCATGGAGGATGCTGAAACAAGGCCAGGAACTAAGGCATTGATTTATTACGTGTACTCCAATCTTCTGGCTTGGTTTTTGCCCAGACAATTTCTGGAGCTTTCTATCAGATGCCAGGAGGAGAGCAACAAAGTACAAATTTTGTTTGTTTCATGTTTGTAGTAAGAGACTTTAAACCACACCTACAGCACAATTAGGTCATACAAGTGCTGAAGAGTACGAAGTGTTCAAGAGAGTAACAAACACCCAAAAAAAGGAGAGATTATAAGGACACTTGATGTTTGATAGGAAAGTAGGAGCAAGCCACACTACACTAGAACACCCGCCAGTCACCTGTGGACATGTTCTGGAGCTCTCTATCAGATGCTACAAGGTTAACAACAACAGTAAAAAAAAGTACATTTCATTCTTTTTGATCTTACCATGTATAACAACCAAAGAAAAAAAAAAAAAAAAAAAACAGGAAACAGAATTTACATCACGCATTTACTTATTTTCTATCTCTCAGACAATATGCTCACATTAAGTTATTCCACCTTGCCCTTAACCTTTCCAGAATCAGCATAAAAGGAGAAATTGAAAGAAAAAGCCCCTTGTCATTATGTGCGTATGTTGTGAGTTCATGTGTGAGTGTGTGTGTGTGTGTTTGTTAACACGTAGGTGGTGTGTGTACAAAATAAATGCCGCACCATCAAAATAAGCAAAAGCAAGAGTATCAAGTGATTATCCCCATATCACCCCTCAGCGAGAGTGAGCGTAAGTGAGTAACAAAGTAAAGAATGCTCTCCACTGAGTATGCATGTGCGTGAGTGAGCAGAGAAAAACGTGTCCATAATGATTCCTATTTGCTTTTGCTTTTTTTTCTTTTTCCAATACTGCTGATTGAGTCTGGCATGAGGAAACCATCCTCCAGCGTCAATGCATGGCTCATGCCTGGTTACCAACCATAGATTATTGATCTGATACCCCCCCAC